ATGCTTACGGTTAGTAGAACCTGAGATCTAAATCCTTTGGCACTTCGATTTTTTCCTTCTGTTTGTTACAGTGTAGTGTTTTCTTTAAAACGAACGCTACCGTTATATTTCTTCCTTATATCCCTTGATTTTGTCCTTCCGGTAATGCTTCCTTTGTTTTTGGACTATCCAATTTTCAAGGACCAAACTAAAATTTTTCTTTATTCCTCTTTGTTCGCTTTTTTTAGCGCAGTTAACGTCTTCGTGGTGCTGCTGATTGATTCAAAGAATCTGTTTCCCAAATAGACTAAGCTCTATATTAAATTGCCCTACATTCTGACTGTAAATTCTTCGGCATGACTTTTGCTGTGTCTGGGCTCTATTGCTCTCGATTCTGAAATACTGCTAATATTATAATTCTAAAATCTAATTTCGGGATGGTGGAAATGAACGATACAAGTGTTCCCTCAGAGACTTTATGTCTTCATCGACACGTCTATATGGATGAACCAGAGCTTCTCAAACGTCTTTTGCAGACAATGCGTTTCGGAACGTGTAACACCCAAGATACTTATGGTGAGCTTTTCTAAACCGTTTCCTATTCTTTTATGACAAAAACAAGTTTAATATATCGGGTTTATGAATTCGCTTCACTTACTGTGGATGAGCTCTAGTTTTTAAAACCGTTGTAGTAAGCAGGCCGTTTCCTTTCTTAGGACTTCCGAAAGTAGCGGCCCCCTGAGCTTTGGTACTTGCTGACTGATCATCAAATGTAGGATCGTTCTGAGATTTAATTTTATCTCCTTCGTCGGCGTTAGACATACTTTTTATCCGGTCACTTTGCAGATTCAACACTCCAAGACTGTAATATAGACAAGGACGGTATATTACAAGCATAACACAGAAAACCTAGAGCGGGGAGGGGGGGAGGCTACCTACAAAATTATCAAATAGATCGTAAAGGTTGACGAATAATACGAAAAGAGGTGTAGTCCTGTGGCTTGGGAGAAAGGGTTTCCACCAGTTCCGCTTTCTCATTGACGACTTAATCTGAATAAAAATTGAAAATCACTCCAATTACTCGGCTATAAGGGCCCGTCACAAACCCCAAATTCAACTTTGGCGCCGTTACACCATGTTAACTAGTATTACGCCTATCAGTAATCCTCAGCTGAACTGTCATCGTTAACTTATTTGTTGTCAAAACCATTTTTCGACTGAGAGGCTCTTGAAGATATATTATCAGTATCGGGATATCTGAGGGGTATGTAGGTAGATTGCCTTTGATTCCCCTATTTGTACATGTATGTTGTGGTAGCAGAAAAATAGTATCTCATTTTATTGGCAAGGCCAATTGACATGAGCCATGAGGTGGAACATAGTTTAAAAAAGAGCAGACAGTAAAAAAATCTCCTTGGGATTTTTTAAGGATAGTAAGTGCGTGCTGTGCGGTAGGCAGGTACGTAGCATCTATTGCTACGATGAACGAGTAAATATCGTGTTCTAAATGTTCAGAAATCTTACATATAGCATTTCAAGCCCCTTTTTCACCTGCATTCCAAATTTTATTCTTATTAGGCATTGCAATGACCGTAATGCTTAGTTCATTCATTTACTAACCGCCTTTTTTCTCAAACCTGACTATTTTGGTCACTTTATTATTTCGTCTATCTAGGCAATACTCCTCTGCATCTGGCTGTCATGTTAGGACGCTCAGGTATGCATTTGTCATGACTGACTCCTCCAGACTGTATCGATCACCTTCTGGCCAATGGTGCACGTGTAGACATACGGAACGGGTGGGGCTGGACCCCAATTGATGAGGCAATTTGTCGGAAAAACTCTCCTGTTGGTAGGCTGCCCGCACAATAGTTATGCTCCTTTTTTAGCCTTCAAATTGTGGCATCTTATGCGAACTGCAGATCAGGAGAGGGCCGAGCGTCTCTTCTTTGAGGACTTCCTCACGAAGGTGCCTGACGCTGATATTGATTTGGAGTGGGAGTTACACAGTTGGGGTACGTGCACCTTCACTGAACTTGCGTACTCGACATTATTACGGATACCGAGTATTCCATTACCTGTGGTTCATGCACTGGTATTTGGTTCATATGTAAAATTCACAGAAAACTATAGTTTTTATCTTGTTTAGTGGTGCAACTATTGGCAGGACCTGTGATACCTGCATCGTTTAGTTTTCACAAGCACAGATCCTCGAAATTTTCTTATTTAATATATAAATATTCTCCTTCCGAGTTCTAATAGTCACAATTGACTGTCAGATTCCTTTAAAATCCTCATCCAAGAATTGCACACCTCATGTGACGTGATTATTCACATCCATCCCGCCGAAATTGACACAAGACGTCTTGTGCCTCAATTCACAACCATATCTTTATAAATAGACAATGGCTTTTTCTTCTTAAAGTTCCCTTCGTCAGTCGATTCCTACCTTCGGACAAGTGCAGAGTCCGCAAGAAGGGCAATAAAGTGAGGTATGTACCCTTTGTTACTTTTAGGTTCGAAATAATACTGCTCTGAAGTCGTTCTTTCAACAACAGTACCGTCTTCATGCCCTCCACGGTTTTATTCTTTTTCACTCGATCTCCTACTACTGTTATAGGGTGGACATGTCTTTGAAGGGCTTCCAGGATTTTAGCTGGCTTCGAGGGGATATTAGCTTCCTCTTGGACGGTAGCCGCCTCTTTGACGAAAAAGTGGTTATGCTCGATCATGACCAAAAGCTTTACGAGTGCGTTACAAGCCAGGTGGGTTTTGCTCCACTTATTCGATGCACCCCTCTTATCCCCACCACCAGATTTCTTTTTTTGTAACCATTTTCTCTATGTAGGTGCTTTATTTGCGTAGCTTGCCTCTTTTCAGCTATCGGAAGTAGATTCAACTCAGTTTGATCTGGAATGGAGTCTGATCGCAAACTCGCCAGTGGTCGCTCTTCGTTTTCTGCACGATAATCTCTCCTGTGTTCCCAACTACAGTGGTTGGTTTAATTCGGAGCAACAGAAAGTTGACCAAGTAAGCCTGCCGAGTCTGTCTTGCTGTTTATTCCTTTTGACTAACAATTCTACCCGATTTTTAATGTAAATGTTACTTTCGGCACCTGCTGTGGGTGGGGAGGTTGTATGCGGATGTGAACAACCATCACCTCTCTTTTTTTTCAGAGCGGCTAATGCAAATTACGGTTGTAAGCAACTGCTTGAGGCTGTAGCGGTCCATGCAGGGATTGTGCTCAGAGCAGTACAATCATAATGTCCAGTTCCGTGTAGGTAGACTGGGGAAAAGACCTGTAGGAACAGTGTATTCTGCGTAGAACGTCAGTGGTGGTCAGAGACCCCGACGCGCGGCATGCTCTGGGCCTGGGCGTGTGCCTGTCCACGGGCGTGATATGGGCATGAGTGAATAAACGTCGGTCGGTCTCTGCTTGATTAGTTGACTGCGTGGTAGCCGTTGCTAGGCGTCTGTGATTGGCTGGCCCGGGAGTTATATGTGGCAGCTCGAGAACTGTGTTCACTTGCCCTCTTGAGCGGTGTGGGCGTCAGAAATGGGAAGCATTACAATGCCTCTGATCGGGCCATATATGATACTAGCGCGGAAGCCCGGCTTCGCCTTGGGCTTCCTTAAATCTTGTTGTCCGCATCGAAATCTACGGGATCATGGACATTTTGCAACTGTAGTTGATGTTGGTAGTCTTACGACATATCATTTCTGTACTTTAACCATAGATCATGGGGGCAGTTCAACTCA